ACCGCCACACCAAGAGTCCTATCCACTTTTAGGTGTTAAAATTCTTATGTGCCTTCTAGCATCTTCTTTATTTTTTAAGTCTGTCTTCCAAAATCACTCAATAACAGTTCTTTGATGAAGTTGCATCTATATATATGTGATTCCTCAATTAGGTTAGAAATATTAGAAAATCAGAAAAAATAATTAGACCTTTAACTGTTCTTGCTTTCTGTTCAATCAATCTGAAAGTGAATTGGAATGGTTTATAAACTTTTTTTTTTTAACAGTATAGTTATTCTGTTGTGCATAGGGTTGCTAAAAGTGGGAACCAACTTGACATCACCTAACAATAACAATTAGTCTCTGAGTCTGATCCATAGAAGTTTCTTATTTTAATTATTGGATTGGTTTTCATTTTTTCCATGTTATCTTACAATGAATTTTTTCTTAATTGTGGCGGGGAAGAAAGCCATTGGTATTACTCACCCTGTCTCGTTGTTTTTGGTAATCTCTGTGCTAGTGTATATAAATATGTATAATTACATTTGAATTTATCCTGAAGTGGAATAATTTGGTAAACTTCGAAACTTGCAATTTTAATAAAGTACATCTAGTCTCACCTGCATATGTCTTGCTAGCTTATCTCCTAGAAATTTCTTCAGAATGAGGAAGCAAAATTTAGACAAGAAAATGGATAAAGAAGAAAAACTTTTTAGAGAAAGATTTGAGGTATGTTCACATCTTATCATAATATACATATGTGTATATAGCAATATTAATAACTATTCTTAAAGATCCCATAAGTATAATTGCCTCTGCATCTCCAGGGTAAATATTTGCTCTTTGACTGAAAAGTGGTTATTTTCATTTTATTTTATTCCAGAAACATATCTATATTACTGTGCTTTTGTGTATGATATTCTGTCTACCTAGAAAAATTACTATGTTGTTTTATTAAGGCTCAATTTAAACAGAGCCCAGAAAAAGTTATTCCCTCAGCATATTTACTATCTATTATATAAAGAATGTATCTTATATAGCATGGATCAGTTGAAGTATAGCTAGTATGTGTATGTATGTGAGTGTGTGT